ACTAAAATGTGTAAAACTGAGTCTAAATATTAAAAGGTGCCTTTTTATTAAGACAAATGGGGTAGTTAAAATGAAATTACTATGGTGGTTGTTCTCTTGCATCTGTAGCATTGAAGCTTTACTCACTCTAAAGCTATCTTGACGAGTGGAGACTGGCACACAGCCACCTTTACTTAATAAAGCAAACTTCTTTGAGGTTACTTTTTCAACTAGATACAGCACATACAGTGCTTCTAAATTTGAGGTCCACAGGACTCCAGACCATAATACCAACGTCTGGGTGCTGTCCAAACTTCTCTCAGTTGTTCCTTTAACTGCAGAGCTGGAAGGCTCAGAAGGTCTTTGCTGTGCATGTTGGTTTGCACACTGCCAAGATCCAGCTTGACCTGCACCTACAGTGAGGACTCTCTGGGGGACAAGCAGGGTGCAGGCTCACAGCCAGGAGGCAGTAGGGGAGGTGAGGTCCCTGCTGTCCTGTCCTCAGGAGGGCCAGGATGCTCCCAAGGCCCGTGGTATCAAGCTGGGATCATAGGTAGGAAAGAGACTCTAAGGGCCCTGTTTTCAGCTGCTCTAAGCATTTGCACTCAACATCTCTGAAAAAGGCATTTCTCTGGAAAAATATGATCCTCCAGCCAAGCTTTCAGGAGGAAAGTGTGCACAAAGTCACCAAAGAGGAGGTGACATAGCTGCTGTGTGACCTGCATTTTCAAAGTGTGGGTGCAATCAGGTCTAGTGACCCATTACCAGCAAGGGCTCATCCTTTGCAATTCAACAGCCTGCACTGTGGCTTAGTTGGATGAGAACTGTGCCCAAAATCTTTCCTTTCTCCACCTCAGTGGAGCTCCCGCTACCACTGATCACTTCTAAAGCCACTAAGTAGCCCAAACATGCCCATTCAACACGTATGACTTCATTTCGGGCCGAGAGCACATTCACCACAAGTTGCACCAGCTACCCGCAGGATGGAGGCTGCGAGATGCTCACGGTGCCAAACCTCCCCTAGGCCCTGATGCCCGCACAGCCTCTCCCATGCCTGGTCTCAGTTGGGATTCGCTCCCATAGGGGAAAAAATTCATTTTACTTTTCACAAGGCAGTTCTGCAGTTAGGGAGGAAGGGAGTCAGTGGGGGCAACAATGAGTAGAATAGGTGGGAAGGGAGAAGAGGAAGCCAATATTGGTGCTGAACTCTTTTTATCCTGTATTTTAACATGATTTTTGCTTCCAGAGCAATACTAATTCTGCAGTGGTAGAGGGGATTCATTCTCTGTCTTCCCCCTTTTTATCCAAGTCAGAGCGCTGCTGTTGATTAAAAGAGACTATGTGCCAGCTGAAAGCAGAGGACTATCTGTCCCTACTGCCATGCATGGAGTCAAGGTACACTCCTTTAATAATTTCATCTACCCTTTCAAATAAAGCAAGTAAAAAAAAAGAGTGCATTTACTACTGTAAGGGCTCTTAAAGGCTGGTTCAGCTAAGGCTTGTTAATAAAAAAAAACCCAACATGAAATTATGTGATAGGCTACGGCCAGGTCTCCTTTCTGCTAAATTATGTCTTAGCAGAAACAGCATCAAGGAAGGAAGGAGCCCATGGGAATTTTCTCACATAATTCAACCTTACAACTCTCCTGAGAACATCAACAGCTTCCGTTCCCATCTGTTTAGCTCATCCTCACGCCTTAAGGCTCTTCTTCATTTGCCAAAAAGTCATCCAGAGATATCACATACACATCCTATTTTTGCAGCACTCGCAGCAAAATTGATATGCTGCTAAGAAAACCCAACAAGATATTATGATTTTTTTTCTCAACTATAATTTTTTTTCTCTTTCTGCACACATTCCTTTATAGGTGGTAAATTCTTCAGTGCAGGGACTGGCTCATTCAGGACCTTCTGTTCTGCTCTTCACTTTGACAGTATTTAATGAATAATGGCATGCCTGTGTTACAGCTGCAGTGGGAATCAACACTGAATTCCTCAGCTCCAGTGCAGTCATACAGAAAATGCTATGCTGTCATTTCACACAGAACACGCTAATTGTATTTTATACAACTTTCAGTAGAACTTTACTAATTTTATCTGCAGTTGCTTTCGAGAGCAGCATTGGGAAAATGTGCTTCATCCAAATTAAAAAAGGAAATGTAATGACAGATACATTCTTTACATTAGTGTGGAAGAGGCCCCTGCAAGTCTTGCATCTCAGTACAAGTGTCACACAGAAAGACTGTCAGACTGTTCTCTGACTGCTCATTTTTCAGTGTTTGTAGCCACCAGTTATCTACTCGTGATGATGTGAATCAAGGAACTCACCGACACTTGTACATCCTCTCCCTGCTTGTTTTGCTGTATTTAACATGTTCTAGAGATCACTGGTATCATATTCTGCCAGCACCAGACTGGATGGTATTCACAGAATCCAGCACCCAGCTTGGCCAGCCATTCTCCCTTGACGTAATGCGCAGTCCCTGGGAAACGGGAGGCTCCTTCCCAGAGGCCAGCTCAGAGCAAGGACCAAACTGCAGAGGCTTGCAACCATCTCTCCTCCAGCTCCAGAATGGCCCCAACATTATTCTCCTTCACAATTGCCTCTTTTATTAAAGATAAATACTGACCAACCAACCAATTCACCCTCATTAATCTGCCTTGTGCCTCACGTCCAGCATTGAAGAGAATGAATGGATGCTCTGATGGCCAATCCTAGAGTGAGGGCATCCGCAGCCTTGTTTCATCACGTTTTCCAGGAAATGCAATGCAAGCCTTGGCCTATCCCCTCTCAGCGCCACAGATAGAACAATATTCCCTCCCAACCCCTTCGCATTGTGACGATGTGCATTAAAAACATGGAGGTGTCTAAAATCCATACTTGTGGGGACCATAAAAATACAAAGCATATACAAAGAAATGCATCTGAGAGGCAGTAACTGTGAGAATGGTTCTTGTTGATGTGCAGGCTGATTTGACTCTGCTCAGGCTGCAAAGGAAGAGAATCGCTTTGCATTTGTGGGCTTACAGCACCACAGCTGCATTTAAGTCCCCACGTAGGGCTTACAGATGCAGCTCTAATAAAAAGCAGCAGCTTTACTACAGTGAAATCTTTTTTTTTCTCCTTTCAATTTTCTTTCTTGAATCCTAATGATCATCCAACTGCAATTTGCTATTGCATCAATTATTTCTGCTCTCACTTTCCAAACAAAAATTTAATCCCTTCAAGTTTTCACCACAATAAACAATTTTGACCCAAACAAATCTTCACCTTAGTCTGTGAAGCTCTTCTTGTGAGCAAAAATCATTAAAGAAGTCCCACATTAAATCTGGAACATCAAACTTCCAATTTATATATAGAGCAAAGATATGAAAGGATCAGAGCCCTGCACAATGTGGATTAAATTACATACCTAGGAACTATTTAATAATGTTGGGTTTTTTCCCTGTACCTGCACGGCCTCCCTCAGTCTCTCCTCTTTCAGGCAATCTGCTTTTTTGCTTCAAAGGTATATGTGTTGCTTTCAAAATTCTGCATGCAGCACTGACACAGGGACAATTCGGTGTAGGGGCATTTCAGCTCTTTAATTAAAGTTTAACTATAAAGCAGCAACAGAGTTAGGGCAGTACTACAGATCCTCTGCCTTTGATGGCTGGCAGGAACCCACCGCGTTCCTCTCACCAGGACACAGACAGGATTCCCTCACATTTGAGGAGTAAAATATTAGAAGGTGCCCACTTATCTTTAAAACAACTCACTTTTATTAAATCTGACATCAAACGCACACCACCAAGCCATAGAACAGTCTCTGTGTGGAACACTAATGAGGTGAAGGACCAGACCTGAACAGCACTACATCAAGTCTGGTAACTGTTGCATGCATCAAGTGATTGTCTTTAAAAAAAAAATCTGTGACAATTTTGAAAGATTAAAAATCCTTGTACTTGTATGGAAGATTTTGCAAAGCCCATAGCTTTAGGGAGTCCTCCAGCAAACTTGCTTACGAGGAAGAGAAATAACAACGCATATTTTAAACATCAAGGACAACAGTGCAATATGGCTTCTAAGCTGTTAAGTCTTGGATCAAAATACCGGTAGATCCAAGGAAGATCTGAGTGTTCAGGATGTTGCATTGTACACAGGATCAGCTGAAGAGCTTGATTAAATTTTTTGGAAGAAACCTCCCTCTGGTGGTTAAAGAGGGAACACAACCTTTTTCTAACCATCTGTTGACTCAGCCAGCCATACTAGAGTAGACTGTTCAAGTCTTACTAAAAAAATATTCTTTATAAAATTCAGACGAGGTGAGGGAAGCCTGGTACACTGTGTCCATTCCCTACTGGCTACCTGTAATTTGGAATACAAACACCCCTCCCCCCCAAAAAAAAGAAACAAAACCATCAGATTTAAATGTCCCCTCCCTATTCAACTGCTCTGAGTTCTAGCAGAAGGCCAAACGCAGTATTTTGAGTTATGCCATCCAGTTATGCCATAGCAAAAGGCTATCAGATTGCTCAAGCATGACTTCCCCATGGTGAATCCATATTGACTACTCCTGATAACCCTCTTTTTCTTGACATGCTTTGAGATGGCACCAAGAACAAGCTGTTTGTTCCATTACCTTTCCAAGAATGGAGGTGAAGCTGATGGGTCTGTATTACCTGGGTCCTCCTTCTTGCTCTTTTTGAAGGCTGAAGTGACATTGGCTTACCTCCAGTCCTCAGGTACCTCTCCTGTTCTCCAGGACTTTTCAAAGATGATGAAGAGTGGCCTAGCAATGACCTCCACCAGCTCCCTCAGTACTCATGGGTGCATCCCATTGGGGCCCATGGATCTCTAGATGTCTATAGAAGTAGAGGTGTCTGTTTTGGGGTTGTTTTTACATTTTTTATAAACTTTATAGGAGACATTTCATTGCACTCTTTGGTTGTAATTCACCCTGTAGAGTCATCAAAAATAGTTGAGAGTTAAAATAAAAGGAATCCAACTTTCAGCATTCATTTTGTGCTTTTATTTCTAGAACTGTATTTGGAAGAGATTAGTGACCTGGTAGTAGAGATTGATACAGAGTGTCAACCAGATGCATTTTTGGACAGACCACCCATTCCACTTTTCATACCAGCCAAAACGGGAAAGGATGTGGCTACGCAAATAGAAGAAGGAGAGGTATGAAGTGAAGTCAGGTCAACAAGTGCTGTCAAAACATGTCTCCCACACAAAACACATTTCTGATGCAAAATTGAGGCAGAAACAGAAAGGAACTTATCCTCACAGAACATGTTAAAAAAAAAAAAAGTCTCCAATGTCTGCTGTGAGGTTAAGTACAAAATTAAGAAAGTTGCTTCTCCATAAGCACTGGTTCTGCTTCTTTCAGCTGGGAACTACAGTGCTTAGAAACACTCTCCCCATAGAAGGTGTCCAGCCTGAGAAAGGGTTGGAAACACAGACATAGAGTCCAGGTGAGTGCTCTGCTTCTCCCTGGCTGCCCCTGCAGGGGCTGTGGTAAGGTGTGTGTTGTTTCACTCCAGCCCACACATCCTTTATCCCCCCAGCTGCATTCGTGCTTCTTGCCGTAGGTGACACTGCCTCCCCTACCTGCACTTTTGAGGCCTGCCTTCAGCACAAGGACTTTGTTCATCCTCCTTTTCTTGCTGCCAAAGTGTTGAAAGTGATTATGATCAAGGGTCATTTATTTCTGTTTCCTTGACTCCCATCCTCAGTTGTTTGACTTTGATGTTGAAGTCAAGCCCATTGTGGAAGTGTTGATTGGGAGAATGATTGAGCAATCTTTGCTGGAAGTCATGAAGGAAGAAGAGCTGGCACGGCTGTGGGCACATCAGCGTGCCTATGCAGAGCTGCGTAATGCAGGGCTTGCTGTAGTACAGCTCCTGGAAGAGTAGGACAGGCGATACAGAGAGGAGAAGGTAGGACTTAATAAGAGCAAAACAAGACAGTCTGAATGCTCACCAGAAGAGAGAAAATCATATCCGGTACTGAAAGAGAAGCTGTGAAATAAGCTGGATGTACCCAAAAGGGTACTGTCAAGTTGGATGTTCTTCAAAGCATTTTAGTGCCATATGGCTGCACTCTGTCATTTGCTCTCATGCATCAGCACCATGCTGTTGTGTTTATTTGGAGCAGTCAAGCTCCAGTGACCTGGTGTACTCAGACACCTGATCAAGAGGCCAAAACCAACAGCATTTTCCTCTGTACCTGGTGCAGCTGTTACTCAGGCCTTTTCATTATAGTAACTGCTAAATGAGTAGGCAACACTCAATGCATGCACTGCTGTATGTGCACACATACCTCTTAAAATCTCCAAGTATTAAGCTATGTTAGTACTATCTAGTAAATAGGAATAAACAGAAAAGGTAAGCCTTAATTTCTCACTATTCATCAGTCTTGTATAGTTGAGAGTTTTTACATTTTCGTGAACCAGTTTGAGTTCTATTATTTTCTTACACCAAATGGGATATAATATTGAAAAGATGAAAAGCACAGGAAATCCTGACCCAACTTCATCTAATTCCAAAGCCAATGATTAGCTTGATTTACAGTAAGACAGCAAAGTCATGAGATGTGTGTACTAAGGCATCAGAGACTGTTTTCATTTGGCCAGCTGTGAGGCCCTTATTTTACAGACTTGCCAAAATCCAAAAAGGTATACCAAAGAGGTATACTAGAGGTGTTTCCCTGTAGTCCCTGTGGTTTTTAGTAGTCCACAGATTTAGTACAAACTTGCTTTCAAGCATTCTTCATAGGAGGAGTTTTTGTGCAAGTTACAGGCTGCAAATACCAGAGAGAGACGGTAAGTATCTATACTTGTGATTATCTTTGCTATTTATGACTCTCACACTGTGATCGTTCTTCAAAGTTTAGATCAAAGTGTAACAGCTAAAGGCCTGAAAGTTTTATGTGCGCTATTGCCTTGACAGGAATATCGCAAACTCCAGCACAAGCAATTGCTGCAGAAACAGAAAGAGACCACAGAGAAAATTGCAGCTCGGGCATTCACTCATTGTTACTTGGCTGATCTCATTCCCTTGGTCTTCAGCAGTCTTCATGAGAGTGGATTTTTTAAAGACCCTATAGAAAGAAGTTTGTATTTATTATTCTATTTTAATACGTGAACTGAGTAATGTAAAAGACAAAACAAACATAAAACATAGTTTACTGTCCTACTATTTAGAATAATGCCATAAGACTTTATTCATCTACATTTGTGGCTGAAAATATAGTTTTCATATTTTTAATACAAACAAACATTATTGGTCATCTGTACAAGCAGCCAAGAATAAGCAAAAGCTGCTTTAGGATTGGAGCGAAATAAATGGGTGGTTAGGATTGGTAGAGCAGAAAAAGAGGAGAGATCCAAATTGAAGTAAATGTATTTTGACAGGACGGGCAAATAAATCTGTATGTCATTCTGAATCTTTTTAAATGATTATCAGAGCAAGAGAGAAATTGCCATTCTGAATCTTTTTTAATGATTATCAGAGCAAGGGAGAAATTAGTCCATTAGAGTTAGGCTCTGAAGATTATTTTGGAGTTGTACATCATTGACTTCTGAGCTTTTAGATTCAGCAGCATTTCTTAAGGGCTACCTTGCTGCACTCCACTTCCCCAGGCCCTGCACAGGTGCACAGACCACAGCTTGAGAATGGTTACACTGTCTCCAGAATGAGTCATGGGGCAAATGAAGAAACTGTGCGTACTTTGCAAACAGGGCAAGCTTTGAACCACAGTGTTGAAAGAGCATGATTTGAGAAGTACACGGGCAAGCAAGAGCTCTTTAGTCAGAGGGAACAAATGCTTTCAGCAGACCAGAAGACAGATGTCTTTGGAAAGCAAGGCGGGAAATGTTATTCTCCTGACTTATTCTAGTGAGATGAAAATAGCTATCCTGAACGTTACTGCGTATCTCATCTGTGCTGGCCCTTCAAGGGTGCCAGACCCCTTTGAAAATCACTGCAGTTGAGAGGACTCTGGTCTGGGTTCATAACGATGAGGAGCCTCAGTAAGAGAGGCAAGAGATGAGAAACCTGAGAGATCTCATCTGGCTTTTGCAAAGCAAATGTCTTTTGGCAAGGATGTTCATCTTTTAATGGTTGTACCAAATGAAAAACAGCCCCAAGATCCTGTCGCTCATCCTTAATAAAAAGGCATTTTTCTTTCTTTCTTCCTGCTAAATTCTTACAGATATTGAGACAGAATTCCTTCCGTGGCTGATGACAGAAGTGGAAGAAACACTAGAGGTGAAGGTTCTGGGAAGGACAATGCTTGACTGTAAGTTACCAAATCCTGGAATGTAATCTGGGCTGTTTGATGTTCTTGATTGGTTTTTTTTTCCCAGTCAGAACAAAGATCAGATTTACAGGATCACTGTGAGTCAAGGTAGGAGGTGTCATTTTAGCAAGAACTGCAAGTACCCATGGCTTTTTATGTTGTTTTTGGTTTGGTTTGGTTTTTTACTGTATTAAAACCTTTTTAATGTTGGAAAGCTACTACTACATACATCTAGGTAATTGATTTTAAGCTGAAAAAAGAAGTGTTAGTCATGCTGCACTGTCCTCTCTCTGGTAGCTTTATACTGTTTGAGATATGTTGATGATGGGAGATGCAGTACATTGGGCAGAAGCAGAATGGTTAAAGAACACCAATTATTTTCTCTGCCATAAAACTTTTTTTCTCATGTGTTACACAGCCATCATTGCTGTGCTATTCTCTGTAGTGTGCCTGATTGTGCCAGTGGGAACAGAAAAGCCCATCCTATCTACAGCCACATGTATACCACAAAAGTCTCTTAACTCATTTGTGTAAGCTCCCTGAGCTATGGAGTCATATGTTCATCGTACATGAAAGGAGAAGAGAAGGATGATCATAGGCCATGGTTGACTAAGAACTCCGGTGACCAACACTTTTCATCAAAACAAGGGCTTACGTCCTCAGCAGTCAATAATCATGTTCTAGCTTTTGGAATAGATTAAAATATTGGTCATCTTTTGGGCTAGTTCAAGCTAAGTATTCGGGTTCCTTTATTCAGTCTTCAGAGTCTGTTGTTGAAATACCTGAACAATGTAAACTCTGTCTTCTGTAGAAACAAAAAATTATGATGAACGTCCATCCACGGTGGTGGTCCTAGATCAAACCACTTTTTATACTTGTGTTACATCTTTCATTCATATGGTTTTCCTCCCGCTGTGATTTTGGGTTTTAATTACAATCGTGTTGCTACAGGATACACTATCGATGAGCATGTCTATCATACTCCTGTTAAATCTGTTTAATTTTCTAACCAGATATTGTGGTCTTGCACCAGTTCTAAGATACACAGAGCAGCTGGAGCAGGCCACTAATACCAGCAGCCCTTGTTTTGTTGTGTACTCTCTGTATTTCCTGACTTATACCCAATCACCCACTGTTGAGTAAACACCATTTCTGCAAAAGGAACTGCAAATTAGATTCTCTAAGTTTTATAGAGATAGGCACAGCTTCAGTTGAGATAGTTTGTGGCTCCCCATCTTATGCAGAAGCATTGAAGAAATCTCTAAAGATCCATTTTTAACCTATTTGAATGAAGATGCTACTTAAAGAATTTATTTTGTCACCGTCCAATAAAAGAGCTGTGAAATACAAGGGAAGCACCCACAGTGTAAGGTGGCTATATTGGTCCTCTCAGAGATTACCATTCCTTCTCTTACTTGCTAAAGTCAACCCATGAATTAACAATGAAGCTCTTTTTAGTACCTGTACATTATCCTATTTTCTGTGTTAAACCTCTCTCCCTTAATTCTTGGCCTCTATTTTTCATATTTAAATGATGTAAATGAAAGTGAGTGTGGATGGTTTTTGTTGCGTTCTTTGATTTAGAAGTGGTATAATGTTTACAAAAAAACACAGAGGCTAAACAGCAAAAATAATAAAGAATAGATGCAGCTCCTTTTTAGAAAGAGAAAATCTTTTGATGACTCCTGCAGTTCCAGTATTTCCCACTGTCAAAACCATCATGCTGTGTGCAACCTGGTTAGTCCTTGTTCCTGGTGGGGTTGACCCACTCTAGAAGTGAGGAAACAACTGTGAGGAAACCAATAAACAGTCCAGGTGAACCCTTTTAAATCACTCCTTTCAGTGTAAATGCTCATTTGGCTGGCATTAGGCTACAACAGCAGGGATTCTTTCATTTTTAGTGTTATTTCATGGGCTTTTTTCCCTGTTTAAGAAGTTATAGGTCGGTAATACAAAAAATAATCTCAAATTACAGTTTTTTCCTCCATGTTATTAATGGTGTCTTTCTCTGTTTCAGCCTTGATCTGTATAGTGGTTGAAAGATGCTTAGATGCATTTAGCAATATATCTCTGTCTGATCAGACAGAGGCACCTCCTGAAGAGGCGGGCCAACAGCTGCAGAAGCCCAGGTAGTGGGTAAGACAGACGCTGCTGACCAACCAGTTGCAGAGAAAGAAGAGACTGACGAACTTGTTGCAGAGAAAAAGCATTCACGTCACATCTTTCCTATAGAGAGAGGTAAATTCCTGACACCTTCCAAGGGAGCTTTTCCACATAAGCAACAGCTCCCCTGGTTATCACTGGATGTCCTAGCCCAGGATGGAGGGAAGGCAGGCTCTGCCTTTGAAGCCGCACAGGTACGAGTGGTCCAGTGAAAGGTCTGGACGTCCCTTTTGAGGCTATGAGACATGGAGCAGGTGTTTGTCTCTTCGGGTCATTCCTGACATCCCACTCTCAGGCTGGGGCCTGGCCTGCCATGGTAGCACATGTGGCAGATAACGCTCTGCAGCTGAAAGCTTCAGGAACAGCACTCTTTGCTCTGTTGCCTGCTGAGATGCTCCAGCATGGAGGCTGTCAGGGCAGAAGAGGCAAATGTGATAATAGTTTTCCTGTTAGTCGTTTCCCAACACTCTGCTGGATCCCAGGCCCACCCTGTCTGGGTCTGTCTCCTCCGCCTGCCCTGGGCAAGCGGGTGAGGGTGGCTGCCGGCATCCCCTCTGTATCGGCAACATCAAGCCCCATGATGGATTTCTATAGAATGAGCTTAATCCTCTGCTTCCCACTAAAACCATTTTGGTACAAGTCAGAAGATAGAATTTTATTACCATTTCATTTTTCAGGTTTTTCATTTTGACCTGAAGCTATGGAAAGTGTGTTTTTTGGTACCTTGCCAGGTTGCATCAGTAAGCCTGACACTGGTCTCCTGGTCACTCCCGCAGCTGTACCTTTAGGGAAGCCCGGTTCCTAAGCCTTTTTCCATCCAACCTAGGGAGATGCTGGCAAAAATATTACACCACTCGAAACGCATGGCTTAAAGAACAGCAGCCTTTGCTCTGTTGCCTGCTGAGATGCCCATGCAAGGCTGTCAGGGCCGAAGAGGCAAATGTGATAACAGTTTTCCTGTTAGTCATTTCCCAACACCCTGCTGGACCCTGAGCCCACCCTGGCTGGGTCTGCCCCCTCCTCCTGCCCTGGGTAAGCAGGTGAGGGTGACTGCCAGCATCCCCTCTGTATCGGCAATGTCAAGCCCCATGATGGATTTCTATAGAATGAGCCTAATCCTCTGCTTCCCACTAAAACCATTTTGGTACAAATCAGAAGGTAGAATTTTATTACCATTTCATTTTTCAGATTTTTGTTTTTGACCAGAAGCTATGGAAAGCATGTTTTTTGGTACCTCACCAGGTTGCATCAGTAAGCCTGACACTGGTCTCCTGGTCACTCCCGCAGCTGTACCTTTAGGGAAGCCCGGTTCCTAAGCCTTTTTCCATCCAACCTAGGGAGATGCTGGCAAAAATATTACACCACTCGAAACGCATGATAAGCAGGAGCAATGCTGGGAAGGACTTTACACTGAATAATTTTTGCATGACAAATACAAAATTAATGCCTGCAACGTCAACCGCCCACGGCCATGGTGCAAATTGTGGACCACAGGTGGGTGTGCAAGCCTGTCTTTCAGGAAAGGCTTTAGCCACAGGTAAATGTTCTTTGCTTTAGGGTCATCAGTGACATCTGGCGGTAATAAACAGTAAATTCAGTTTAAATCTTAAAGGCTATGTACGAGTTTAAACAGCTAATTCAAACTGAAGTATTTCACGAAGTTGTATTTCCCAAAGTGCATTTATTTCTGACACAACCATATAATGAGCGCGCTCCATGCCTGGAGCAAGGACTAACCGGGATGCCACCTGTACACAGCATGGGTTTTTTTGGTGGTGGGAAACACTGGAACCAAGGAAGTCACCAAAGTGTTTGGTGCATCTGAAAGGCAGTTGATGAACACCAGCTCTTTATTACTGTCAGCTCCAGATAGCCTTTGTAAGAATTCCAAACCTTATAGCCCCTCCAAATCAATGAACATGGCAACAGGTCAACTCCCAAATTGAAATACATAATTGGAACAATAAAGATGACAAATTAAAAAGCCACCAGTGAAAGTAGAGGGTTTTAGCAGGGTAAATAGGACAATACAGAGGTAGTGCAAAAAGCTCCAGTGGTAATTCATGGGTTGAGTTTTGCACAAGAAGAAGGCTTTTTCGTCAACGGGACAGAGTTTAGTGGCAGGCCACCAAGACAGTTGGGGATGGAGCACTTGTCCTGTGCAGAGAGGCTGAGGGACCAGGGCTTGTACTGGCTGGGGCAGAGATGGC